AGACTTGCTGTTCCTCTTATTTATGCATTTATTGGTTGCTTCTTTTTTTTTTTTAATATGTTTTTATTGATTTCATTGGTTGCTTTTTGTATGTGCCCTGACTGGATATCAAATCTGCAGCCTTGGCATATCAGACGATGCTCTAACCAACTGAGCTACCCAGCCAGGGCCAGAGTATCCATCTTGACTGGTCCGTGGAAGCTTTTCTCCCATAGGGAAATCTACACTGCCTGTCACATGATGTTGGGCAACTGCTTGGTCCATATATCCAGAATAAAGGGACCGAGTTTTGTTACTGCACAGAGCCATCCAATCTGGACATACCAATGAACCTGTCCCAGCTTTTAGATGTGTGTTCTAAGTAGATGAGACTCTCCATTTGTCCCATCCCACATGGTCAAGAGTTAGAATTTATTCTTTACTCTGAGGAGGCAAGGCCAAACGTGGGGGCCCCAGCCACAGGCCCTAAGGAGGAATCAGCCGGGAGCAGCACTAACTGCCAGGCTGTGAGAGAGCCATCCTAGAGGCCCCGTTCAGGTGAAGCCAGTCAACCACAGCACCCTGACAGATTAATAAGAAACTGCTTTCTTAAGCCATGAAGTTTTGGGGTAGCTTGTGATATGACAAGAGGTAACTGAAATATTCCATTTAATGTTTTCCTCAGAGTATATTCTGGTCACCTTGGTAGATTAGCAATATTCTCTAATTTCACTGAAAACAGACTGAGAACTGTAAACTTTAGAAAATGTTACTATATGGCTGATGCCATGTATTCGGCATTGATTCTTAACATGTATTCTGTCATTTCTAGAATCCTTCTAGAATCTAGCAACAGAGCTTTTACGTTCTTTCCTTCTGAAAAGCATGCCATAGCTTTCTCAAAGGAGATAATTATATTTTTAAAATGAAACTTTTTAAAGTCCTGACAAAGGACTTTATATAACTTTTGGCTAAACTTTTTAATATTTCCCTGTAAAATGGCTTCTCTCCTTAGAAAACATAGACATTCCAATGATCCTAATAACAGCTGCCTTTGAATGCTTCCTGGGCATCAGGAATTGTGCTTAGCACTCCTCAGACAATATCTAACTTAACATTAGCAACTGGAGGTAAAAACTGCATTTTAAAAAGAGGGAGAAACCATTAAGCTAAAACTTAGAGGTGGTTAAACAACTTGCAAATGCTCAAAGTTTTTATCTCAACAATTATACGATATTACCATCCTAGTAGAGAAAATCCCAAAATTCAAGGCATAATATCAACAACAATCAGAGGAATCAGGCCTGAAGAAGGGGGATAACTTGTTCAAGACCACAGGTGGGTCAGAAGGCAGTTCCATTTTTAATTGCTGCCACAATTAAAGCATGGGGGGGAAAACCCCCAACAAAGTGGTTGATCCAGAACTAGCTTCTGAGAGTACCCGCTCTCTTTAGTTCCCATGTAAATGGCCAAGTGGGCTTTAAGAGGAATGTAGACTTGAAGGAAAGGAGGAAAATGACTTCATGCCTTGGGAATGCATGCTGAATTCAAGCAAAAACAAACAGTATTTTTTTCTCCACACAAAACAGCAGTATTTATAACTAAAGCTGAAACACCCTTATTCATCCAGGGCATAGGCCTCGAGAAACACAAGCTATTTTAATGCCTTTATAATTAAATGCATTACAAAAACATAACTTACTCCAGCTGTACCCAAACTCATCCTCCTGGTCCACTTCGGCTGAGATTTTGCTGGCAGATGACTGGGCGTGATCTCCACTCATTTCTGCAAATGCTGAAGGAGGGGGCATGGGCACATTGCACAATGCGGCCTTTTCTGGCTCTGCTTCCGACTGACTCGGTGCCTGTGGGAACAGGAGGAATGCAGTGGGTACGTGCAGATCAAGCGGAAAAAGTTAAGGAAAAAAGAAAATAATGTCAAAAACAAAAACAACCTGACTTTAAAATATCGAACACATAAATAATGGGGAAAAATATATTTATAAAATGGTAGACAGGATTCAGGTAAAGTTTACAAAAACAAAGTGGTATGTTCAGAAAACAATTCACTAAATTGTTATTTGGTATTTTAAGGTGATGAAATATTCAATTTTCAGGCTTAAATAACTGAAGATGAAAAATTATACCAACTTCCCCTTTTGGAAAAAATTTTCATTCAAAAGTTATCAGAAATGTCCAGGGACCTGGGGAAGATTTAGGGGGCTCTAAAAAAGTCTCCCAAGAAACTGGAAAAAAAATAGCAAATTATTAATCAAACAACCAAAGAAGTTCAAAGCTTGTTAGTGAGACTATATATAAATAATTTTTTATTGCTACCCGAATCCTCTCTCCAAATGACCCTCTCAACAAATTCACCAATGAGCATTACACATGCAGGTTCATCTCCCAGGGAGCCAGCTGGTTAGCACAGAGCACACAGGCTTGGATCTGAGGGCTGGTTTTGAGGGAAACACCATCATTCCCTTGCCACGGGAGCTCTCAGAGCAGATGAGAAACATGGGAGAACACTGCATATAAACCCAAAGTTTGGTATACTTGCTGCCACACAGGTCGTAATTCAAAAAAAGGACTTGGCATCATCAAGTTACAAGTTATCAAACAGAATATTAAGAGTTTAAAAGGACCATAAGTCACTGAGGTCATTTTGCAGATTAATAACCTGAGGCCATGGAAAATGAAAATGGTACTCAAGTTCTTTTTGCTTAATTCTTAACCCATTCAAATGCACTTTGCATCATACCGGGTCGTCTCCTCCAGTTTCCAGAGTAAGAAAGTAAGTGCCTAATTCAAGGGTCAGAGATGCTGAGCTGAAGTTCTAACCCTGATATGACACTATCCCTGATGCCTTGAGCCTACATTTTCCTAACCTTCTTTATTTTACCTTTCCTTCTACACAAAAATCCCTCTGATACGCCTCATTTTATTTTACATGTGCATATTTGGAAAAAAGACTGTGATTTAAAAAAGTAAAAGCTTCTTACAGAACACACTAAAATGATGGGCACAAATACTTCGGGGTTATTAAATGGTGTCAAGAATCAGAACACCACAAATTATACCTAATACTAAAGCTATATGGCACCGAACGTGATCTTTCTTTGATGATTCAGAAAGCACTCAGGATTCTAAGCTACCCACACCATGATCATAATAAACATGAAATACTATTTTTCTGGCAAAGCACAGGAAAAATGATTGATAGAGACTTACGGAGCAATAGATTCTGAGTTACATAATGTCCTGAATTAACACATTCTGTTTACACACCATTGGCCAAACAGACAAGAATTACTAGTGCAAACAATACCCTTGTTATCTTCCCAAATCCTGGGGCATAAAACTCTCAAATTAACAATGTACAAATAAAAAATGAACAAACAAAAAAACCTCACTTGATCCAATCAAAGTTCATTAAACATACTAAGTTAGGGGGAATATATAATTTAAAATTTTTCTGATTAAAATTTTCAAGAATTTATTTCTCTGCAACGATGGAAAATGTTAGCCAGCATGAGGTAAGCCCATTTCATTTTTAAACAGTAAAAAGAAATCTAATTTAAACTTCCCAAATTTTAATAAACTGATGGGAACACATTTTATAGATATTACTTGCTGCATAACTATTCTGAGCTGTTAATTTTCCTTAAAACAAACAAACAAACAAACAAACCCTGCTTGTCTACAAACTGTTCAGGATCTTAGGAACATCTTTATACTGTGAGTAAATGAAACCGGTGCCCTAACATAGCCGATGAACCACGAAACAATCCAAGCCTGTATTTACTAAAGGCAATTAGGTGTTCTCTGTTACTACCCCTAAAACCCTCCTTCTCTCTGAGATCACATAATTAGCTTGTTGCTCACACGTCTTAAAATTTGTTAATAAAATGTAACTGTTTAACAAAGATCATTTAGTTTTCATTGGCAAAGATGCAAGGTGCACTTGAAATCACTCCATGCCATGTACACACACAGCACACTGTAGCACACTACGTACTCATGAAAACGTCACACTACGACACACCTTAAACGGCGTGGGGGCGAAAGGGTTAGTTGGGGAACAATGGAAGGTGACGCTACTTGAATTCTGTAACTCCTACAGTAACAGAAAACACACTCCTTCAGATACATGGGCTTTGGTTTTCCTCGTTACAATAACATGAAATTCCAATGAATATTCATAAAATGCTTCTTGAAAAAAATTGTTTACGGCTTTCTTCCTTTTTGAGATCAAATAATAGTAGATTAGTTCTTGTAAGTTTTTGTTTCAAGTTTGGATTTATAATTTAGTCAGAATACCAAGTACAGATTTATAAGCTTTGAAACAGCTACATGTTTCCCGATTCAGGCATTTACATGGACGCACTGGGTGAATATTCAACAGACTCCTGTACACACACAATTTTCTGTGGAGGGATAACTCATAGGAGAGCTTCTAGGACCACCTTGTATAAGTCTATTAAAGATTTAAACCAATGTGAGGTTTTAAAGACACTGTGTGTGACACGAGTCCATATATTTGGCAACTAACAAAAACTGAAATATCAGAAAATTTAACTCACACCAAAATACAGAAAAGGCATTGAACTCACGATTCTCCCTTACTCTTCACAAGGACCATCTAATTTCAGCTATAAAAACGCTCTGGCAAGAAAATGTGCTTAAGAAAGGATTTACATGCCCACTCCAAACACACAGTTGTTTTTTTCCCTGCCCAAAAGCAGTAAACAGTGAACTGGGACAAAGGCACAGCAGGAACACAGAACAAAACACTTGCAAAAGGCAGTGGCAAGACAATGGGCATTCTCCAACCTTGTCGGCGAGGAGCTGCAGAGAACCAGCGAATGGGTTAGTGCGGCTGAAGCTGTACTTAGGGTAAAGGCTGTGCGGCGAGGAAGGCAAGGGGCATTTCTAAAAGGAAACATAAGAGGCGCTGAGCGCAAAGGAACACATCCCGGACACGCGGTTTCAAGAACACAGGACTTACTGATGTGAGTAACTGTGGAAAGCTAGATCCTGTCACCTCTAGTATTAACAACCACATCTTCTTAAACAGTCAGTCTAGTGACCTGAATCTACACCTAACTCAATCTGGCCACAAACCACATAGGAAATGAGTCTGTCAAATGATCCCAAATTTCTTTTATTTTCACTGACTGTCTTCACTACCAGACAGATGCACACATATTTGCCTACTTTATACAGTAATATCTGTTCCATACACATGAGTAACTATGTTTCAAAATTAAAATCATAAATTTAAAAAATATATACACTTAAAAGCAAGTTGTGCTTTTTAAAACAAAATATCTGTCCCAGAACGCTAGCTCACTGAAACCTTAATTATTCATTAGTCTTTTATCTTGTTCCCCAGTAAGGAAACGTCCCATACTTTGAATAGATATTAAGTCTGCTTAAGAATAATAGCACTTCTTAATTTAAAAAAATAATTTTTTTAAAAAATGAACCACTGTACAGTGGTGTTCCTTGTTTCTGTCTACTTTTTTGTGGAGGCAGAAACACTGATGTATATCTTTTAAATTCCCTATAAAAGTTCCCTCATTATGAGGGAATTTATGAGGCTCTGAATAACATCTGAAGTCCTGCCTGCCAGTGTTTCTCAGAGGTTTTGTGGCTTGCCTGCGATACTCCGAGCTAGGACGACTGCCTTTGAATATACATATTAACGGCAGGATGACTGCCAGATAGAATTTAGCATTTTCATAGTCTTTTAAAAAAAAGAAAAGTAATTTCCTTAGCACAATAAATTCTTCTCTGCATACTCGCTATCTTTTTCTTTTATTGACTACATCTTTCAGGGGAAACTGCAGACATTTAAAACCCATTTTGGCTCCAATGAAATGTTTGTGTTACTTCTCTCTATAAAAAAGCTCTCCTGGCAAGCATCAAGAGCTGCGAGGTTGTCACGTGACACCACCCTGCCCGGGAGAACACTCTGGAAAGACTGTCCCTGCTCAGCGCGCCCGCACTGAGGCTTATGCCACATCGCCCTTCAGTCTGCTCTTCCGCAGTGTTTCTCCTGCAGAGAGAAGACGGGAAAGAAATGGGCGTGATGACATTTCTGCTCATCTCCACTTGCGCTCTGCTTCTCAGTTGAAAATGTCAACTCCTGCTTCACGAGAGAGAGGACCACAAATGCCAAGGAACGGGACCCTGGCTTACGATGGGAGAAGTGACTGGGCAGGGCCGGAAGACATCTCCTAGGGCGGGAGGTGGAGATTATTTCTAATCCTCAAACCATGAATTTCTCCATTTTGTATTTCCTTTTTAATTCTGTAGAGTAACATAAAATAAAGCCATAATGGCAAGAAATGGAATATGTAACGAGAGCTCTAGTTTTTGGTTTATGTTTTGTGTTCTTTCTCCCTCTTCTAAATTTGCAGCTCTTATAGGATTAGAATTTGGCCCCGAGAACAGAGTATAAAGTTCAGAATGAGCGCAGCAAGTGAAGTGGCAGATCACTCTATTATTAAGGAAAGATTTCTAGAAACAGACTTGACTTCTTATTAAAAAAATCAATGACGGAACTTCTGTTCATAGTTCCAAGGGCTGATAAAAATAGAAATGTTATAACTAAAAAAGCAGCACAGGGAAGACAAAAACGTTCTCTGGCCCGTATGACGGGGCCCACCCTTTCCCAGGATGGGCGGTGGGCCTGGACGCTGTGAGGCGTCCCGCTGGCGGATTTTCAGGGCTTGTTCTGCGAAGTTCTGGTTCTTGAACAGTCTGAGAGCCAAAGACCGGCTTTTCCCCTTATGTATAAGATTCCCTTAAAACTTTACTCCATCCACAAATAAAACATTTACCATTAAGAGACTCTTAGGGATTTGCGATTTTTTTCCCTTTAGATTATGGGAGACGCAGTTTATTTCCATAGGGAGGTAAATCATTGACTACAAAGTATATCTCATTTCAAATGCAAAGTTGCTTCTAATTTCCCAAAGCAAAATGCGTATGCAGAGAGGGGGAAAAAAGTTTCTTGTACCCAGCTTAGCTTCCCAGCTGGATCTCTGTAATAAGAAACAGATTAACAAGAGAAAAGCATACGTACTGGTTTAATATAAATCTTAGGTGACAGGGAGGCTTCCTAAGGAAATAAAGACCCAAATAAATGGTTAAACCTGAGTGTTTTTATCCTAGGATGGAGGAAGAGTGGGTACATGGAGAGCATCACAGGACAGAGGAATGTGAGCGAAGTGGAGTGAACCGCGGGGAATTTAGCAGAGTCTGTTCATTTCAGGTTCCTCTCAGCATCCCTCCACCTTTGGGGACAAGGATGCTCTTTTCCTCCGGGGACAGGAAGGGCACCTCTCACTGAGGATCTCACAAGCTGCTTCAGGGGATAAGGGCGAGGTCAGAGGCACTCCAGCAACTGCCTTTTCTCAAATTCTTTTTGCTTAAAATATGCAATATCCATCGTGCCGTATTTGGGGAAGCATGTCCTGAACCCTTACTTGAGTAAACATATCATTCTAAGCAAGATTTATCCTAGAATAATTGCTCTAAAATCAGCCATCATTATACCTCAGATAATAAAATAGGAATAGTTTTCAGGTGCATGAAAAAAGTATCTTCCCAGCTCTTTAGAAAATGTGATGGGCACTGAAAGAAATGTTTGTAGTTTAAGTTTTTAAAAAGTAATATTGAGCAACCTATTCCACAGTTTATAGTCTTGTCCTAAATGATATAAAAGTTTGAAATTAAAAATAAAACAAAAAAAAAGAATAAAATCCACCCCCACAAAAAATAGTTTTAACTTAAACAGCCATTTACCAACATTATCATGCTGTGTCTATGTTTAACACAACAAATGGAAACAAATGTACAAAGATTTATAGTTATTTAAACAAACTGAATAGCATGTGAGAAGAATGCAGGATGATGCAGGCCTGCACTTGGCAGATTTTCTCCTCTGAATAATTATTACCTAACAATAAACAACTGAATGGTTAAAAACTGCAGATGTGGAGATAAAGGCTCACATTAAGAACTTCTCAATTCATTTCTTACAGTAAACCCCGAGCAAGCTACACCTGTCTGGACAACAAAGGGAAGGACCAACGGGATCGATCTAGTCACTTTTATTCCAAATTACTTTGATCTCTTCTACAGAGCCGTTCGCTACTTTCCTACCATCACTTGGGCATGGATATCTTAAATTCTTAATTTTAAAAGTTAAATGTATTTTATATAAAAATTACATATTTTAAGTTTTAGATCATTCTTTTAACTCCCCTCACATATGTCGGAATTTTCCTTTTAAAGACAACCAACCCTAAAAGCTAATAAGCAGGATTTCTCAAACAGAATCAGCATGCTAGGGATTCTTAACTTACATAGGGAAGCGAACCTCTCTATAAGCTTTAGGACACCAAGGAGACTCCTGCAATGGTCTGCAAACCCTTCAGTGAACACGTGTGCCTCTGAAGAATTTTCTAAGGGGTTTGCAGCCCAAATATATTTAAAATAATTTTTTTACTGAGGCATAAAGAAGAAATAGAAAATTAGTCTTAAACTCTTGGCATGATTTTCCTCTTCGGCAACATTAGGGTGTATCAAATACACAAAGCCTCACTTAGTATCTTCTCATCAACAACATTCGCTAAATGCACTTTTACTTTTAAAAATATTTTTGAAGCCATTTTACTTGTGATGAGCTAAAAGGAGTTGGTAGGTTTCTGTCCACCAGGGACTACACAGTGATGAAGAGCTACACAGTGACTGGGGCTGGGAAACGGCTGTTATAGAAACACACAGCTTGAACAAAATCTACCATGTGGAAATTTAATGGTCAGTGGGATAGACAAATACATTAAAGAACATTCACAGGTGACCATGGGATTGCATAAACTGAAATTTCTAAGGGAATAAATTTATAAAGAAAACGTAATCTCGCTGGCTTCTAAGGACTCTACAGAGGTTCCAGACCATTAACCTGAAAGACTCCATCACCTTCCTCTTAACTTGTAAACTCTGTGACTATAATATTAATACCTGTCCATCTAGACATCATTGGCCACCAGTGGATTCTACTTCTGTGTGTTTCTAACAGACTTCAAGTGTTTATTAAACATGGTAGAAGGGATTTCCAGGACAACTCAATTAAAAAGACAAGCAAAACAAACTTGTAACAAGGGTCCTGAGATTCCAAGACTCGGTATCTTTGCTCCTATAGAGACAACTTGGCCCCTGATACATTAGATTCCAAGCTGAACGCTGTTGGATATGCTTCCCTTGCCCTCTGTGTTTGCTTACCCTTGGTCTGTTTATAATGCTCTGTACCATAAAGACTACAGGGTTGCCTGCTTTCCGAATGGCTTCCACAGCTTGCTCATGGCTTGCATCTCTGAGGTCCATTCCATCCACCTGCAATGGAAGGCCTCAGCTTAACATTTCAAGAAGCTAGAGAACAACAGAACAATTTGTGGATCTGGAGTTCTGAGAAACCTAGGGGAGGCTCCTGGAAAATCATTTTCATCATCAAAAATCATTGAGACTGTTTGTGGGGATTCAGAACTTTTAATCTGTTCAGCAGACGTGTGGGTCCCTTGTTTTGGACACAGATTTCTGTCTCTCATAATCAACTGAAATAATAAAGAGTTAAAATGAAGGCTCTGCTTGTGCTTGCTTTCCTTACACTGCTCAGTTGCTCCTTTAATAAATCAGCATAATTAAAGAAGTAATATAAGGGAATTGCCTAGTAGCACTGTCTTCACCATGAAAGTCACTGTACCAATATTTTTCCAATTCATTACAGAGTGGTTTGGGAAGTGGGTGGGAGATGCATTGTGTATTTTTCTCCGTACAGGGAAGCTTAAAGTTAAAAACAAAATTCTGATGTTCAGAAATAACAGGTTATGGTGAGGTTAGTTTGGCGAAAGAATCTTTGCAGTAGGTGTGACAGGAGCTGGAAGCCAAGGAACTGTGTTTACTTGTTAGTAAAGAGCTTGGAAATGAAAGTTATTTCGTAACCTTTAACTGACCATGGCTTGCCTGGGTGATGAGCTCAGCTGACGCACTATATGAAAAGGAAGAATAGTCTGAAAGGCCAAATGCTAATCCTGTCAGAAATCTATAGGACACTAGGTTGTTTTATCATTTCCAATCACCACAGTATGGTATATACAACACAACAGCAAAATAAGAGTGGACGAAATTCTGGAAAAGAAAATTATTAGATCTGTGCACAGAACATTATCAACTTTAAAAAAATACATACATTTAATTGAAAACCTCCCTCAGACTGATACTTAGATGGTACTTAACATCATCTCATTCAGTGCATGTTGAAAATGACTTCTAACTTTTTGTAGAATAAAAGTTAGTATTCATGTGTACTATATATTCCATTAGTGGGAAAATATAACAGGACATTAAATATCTTTGCTCACATCCAAAGAACTCAATACCCAGAATGAAATCATTTGCAGGTCTCTACTCATCTAGTCTATACAGAATTTCAGAAACTCTTAGCAGAAACATATTATAGAATCCCCAGGATTTCAGAGGCCTACAGCTTTCTTATTTATGAGAAAAGTCCCCACACATAAAAGCTCTCAAAAGACCATTGCTAAACAGCACACGGCATTTTACCACACACAAAAATCCTTTTCAATTTGAAAGACGTGCTTTAACATTCTTTATACATTTAAACAATACTTTGATGTAAACTATGATCAATTCTTTATATTTACATTATTATTATATAATAATAATAAATATTTCTTACTTTTTCTCCTTAGGTCAAAGGTATTTAAGAGTGAAGTATCCATAAAGTAAACTACTTTGTGATAATCTAAAAATGGAAATTTTAGATAGCACTCCCCCTAAAAAACAGTTCTTCAAAAGAGGGCTAAGACGTCAGCTAATGAAAGGCAAGTACGCAGGAAGAGAGAAAAACCCCCCAATTCTTCCTTGTAAGTGGTCGGGGAAGAATGGCCCTTGCTTTCTCTCAAGTCTCCATCTTCTTCCTTCTTCAGCTCTCAGTAATAATCAGGCAATCGTTCAATCAACAAATCCCCCAAATGCTAATTTTAAAATAAAGGTTAAGTTATAACCTTCTTCTAAACGATTAAGGCACTTTAATGTGTAAGTTATATGGATTTAGAAAAGGAGAGGCAATCATTTGCATAAACATAGTGATCATTATAGTAACAGCGATCTCTTTCCTTCGGGAATGTTGTCTCTTTTATGCTCTATAAATCCTGACAACTCAGCAAATCTGGGTCAGGTATCTCTTCCTCTACGCTCTTAACTAAAACTACGCTTAACGTGATCAAATAGCTTATCACACCGCTCAGAAGTGACCTGGTTACTTGTCCAGCCTGTCCCACTTGGCAGGCAGGCAGTGCTCTGTGTACTGTGGGATGCCCAGAGCCTGGTACAACACCTGGAATGCAACAGCTATTCCAAGAATATTTGTTAAGTAAATGAGTGACTCCTGAGGGAAAGTCTATTTAAAATATTAAACTTTGATTTGAATTAAGGAATTAGGTACAATTTGACCAAATGCTTCTCTTCCATACATAACAAAATACACATGTATGTGTACACACATGTGTGGGCATGCACACACACAGCCCTGAGTGATAAATGGGCATAGCATGTAGAAGGAAGAAAATCTGAGCTTGGGCTGGGGGTGGGAGCATTTATATTAAAAGCTATCAAGGTCTTAGCATAAAAGACTCACTTAGAAAAAAATATCATCCAACAAAGTTTACAATAAAATGATAACTATAAAGTATTTTTTGAAATAACATCTCATTGGAGAACTTAATTGTGATAAACATATCTTGTGTGTGTATATATACTGAAAAATTATTTCCCCAAGAAATTTGCTCTTTTAACCAGGACTTAATTACTTTATCTCAGGGCCTATGTTTTAAAAAATGGCTGGTTATACCTTCAAACATCAGTCTCTACATCAAGATATATAATCTGTTGCCATATATTGAAAAGAGCAATCACAGATGAAAAGAAACAACTAAGAAATGTTTTAACCATGGACACATTTTACTCTAATGTTTGGACCAGTAACCGCTGTAAAGGTGCTGATTCCCTTGGTAAAGAGCATGGAACAGGTGAGGAATTTTAACACAGAAAGCTCGCTGGAGGGTACCTCTACTATCCTATCTCCAGGTTTCAAGGTTCCGTTTTTTCCAGCTGGACTATCTTCAAGAACATGTTTGATGAAAATGCCCCTCATCACTTCGCCGTTGCTTAGACGACTCCCCATCCCCCGTCCACCAACAATGCTGATGCCCAAGGACTTGCTTGGTTCTCTCCAAAGTTCGATGCTGTAAAAAAATAAATAAAATGTTAAACTCATATGAAAACAGAGGGGAAAAGTTCATGACACTGGACTTGGCAATTTTTTTATTTTTTTTAAGAAATGACACCAAAAGCAATGATCACAAAAAAGAACAGACAAATTGGACTTCAACAAAATTAAAAACGTTTGACATCAGCGGATACTATCATTAGAGTCAAACGGCAACCCACAGAATAGGAGAAAATATTTGCAAATCTCATATCTGATAAAGGTTTATATCCAGACTATACAGAGAACCCCTAAAACTCAACAACAACAATAACCAGATTAAAAAATGCCAAAGGATTTGAATAGACATTTCTCTAAAGAAGATATACAACTGGCCCATAAATACATAAATACATGAAAAGATGCTTAACACCACTAATCATTAGGGAAATGCAAATCAAAACTACAATGAGATACCATCTCACACCCATTAGTATGGCTACTATTAAAACAACAACAGAAAAATAAGTGCTGGCAAGGAGAAATGAGAGAAACTGAAGAAATCTGAACCCTTGTCCACTGTTGGGAGCAATGTAACATCTTGTAGCTGCTATGGAAAACAGTATGGAAGGTCCTCAAAAAATTAAAAATAAAATTGCCATATGATCCAGCAATTCCACTCCTGGGTAGAGACTCAAAAGAATTCAAAGCATGGTCCTGAAGAAATGTACAACCACGTTCATAGAAATATTATTCACAATGATGATCAGGGAGAAGCAACCCAAATGTCCATGTACAGATGAAGAGATAAGCTACAAAATAATTTCATCTGACTTACTTTTGCTTCCATCCTCAAATAAGAAACTTAACATCTTATGATAAATATATATATATATTTGCCACAGAACTAGCACTTACATTCTGTTCTCAATATGGGTAATGTAGGGACACTGTGACTTCCTTAAGCAGGCTAAACAGCTTTTAAAGAATTCAAATCAAGAGGTCATTTTGGATGGCTGGAAATGCTTACAGTTTTTTGTGAAAGCAACATAAGTTTTTTAAACTTTGAATGTGACTCAACCTAGAAAATGTTTAAATGTGATGGCTGCTGCTTCGAACTCATTTGTGAGCAAGGAAAATCATGAAACTGTACTAAATCTCGGAAGAGCAGAAATTATTCTCTCAAGCCTTTTATTTACTCACTGTAGAATAAATATTAAGTATTTACTAAGTGCAAGACACTAACATGATGGTCACCCTTAGATCTGCTTAGAGGGAGTGTCCACTGATTACTTTTATTTTACACTGAATGCAAAATACCTTTTGCTTTTCTTTAATTACTTTGTGCATCTCTATATTTGCCTACCCAAGTACATTATAGCTTCTTTGAAGGCAGGAGTTATGTCTTATACTTCCCTCTTATTGACAAAATCGTTTCTTGTCTGGGTCCATAATTAGAACTCCACGAATTTCTATTAAACTGAATTTTATTTTATTTTATTTTATTTAGCATCAACACAAAATCTTGGCTTAGTGATGCACAGTGATATTATCTGAGCATATTTAGGAAAGTCATCTTTTCTATTATATGTCAAATTGGTTATAGACAAAACATGGGTTTGAATAACAGCAGCCTGTGATAACAAGATGCTTACGAACACACGATCGTACATACACATACATTTTGAATATTTAGCTAGCACAAATGCTAGAGAAATTTAACATCTGATGTTATATTTAAGATTAAACTCTACAGAAAATATTCCCTCCAACTACCTATGTGTAATTTCCTCTAGTTAATTTTATTTAGTTCCTATTATATGCAAAATGCTTACATACATGTTAGTTTTACCCCTGTGTGATACATACTATCTTCTCCACTGTACACAGGAAGAAATACATGGATATTAAACAGCTCGCCCAGTGTCACAGTATCAAGTGGTAAAACAGCTCCTGAAACTACAGCTCCCTATTTTTAAACACTGAGTAGGCTGAAGACAGAAACAGTCCTTACCGCCTGGGCTGACTCCAATTGCTGTACGCCGCATTCTGAAGTTCGCTCTCCTCTCCCTCTCCTTCTTCTCGCTCTGGTAATTCTGGAATGTCTCTGTTAAAGAGTGATACGATGAGCACCCCAAATCCTAGGAACCCCATGCAAGGCTGTCTTACCTGTCCTTTATTGATTTGGCTAAAAAAGGCAGAACTGCTTTATATTTTCACCATACTTAGCCAATAAGTATACAACATTTCACATTAAGGAGAAAATAAAACCCAGTCGAACAAAATAAAAACCTTACATTAGAATCAGTCTATAAATGGTGACGGAAGGAGACTTACGTGGGGTGATAAACACGCAATACAATATACTGTAGAATTGTAGAATTGTATACCTGGAACCTATATAATTTTATTAATCAATGTCACCCCAATAAATTCAATAAAAAGTAACTTTATTGCTTCTGTTAAAAAAAAAAAATCAATCTACTATAACTTAGTCTGAAGATACAGCTGAACACTGAGCGTCCTGTCTAGCCTCTTTCCTGATGAAACATGGGAGAATGAAGGAATAAAATGAGAAGGGGATAAATACAGAATTTTAAAGGAAAACTATTCAACAGGCATTTCTTAAATACCTGCTGTGTGCAAGAAGACAGCAGGACCACATGGGCTCTGAGCCTGCACAGCCCCGGCTGACAATCCCTGCCCCCAAGGAGCTGACTGTTCAGGACGCCAGGAGTTCGGCGTCTCTGCTTCCTAGGAATGGACCGACGCGTTCCCTTCACCTTCTGAGGATGGGAATGCTTAGGGCCCCGCTTCAGCCCGGCCGGAGGGGCCAGACAGAACTCTCCACACAGCAAGCAGTTTACAATACACCTATGCTCAAGGTCGCCTGTCAGCTTCTGTAGGGTTCAGATAGTGCCAAATGCCAGCCATATGACGAAATGTGTCCAGTGTCAAGTAACATGTGAGGGCAACAGAGGATGGGTAAAGCAACTGTGGTGTGCCCTATGCTGTTCGTAAAAATTGGATTGCTAGAGAAACATGTTCACATATTTATTTGAAAGCGGAGGCGGCTATAAAAATTCCGATTCAAAAGTGATTTTCAGTTGACCTTTACAAAAATTGAAAAATCTAAAGAAAGCATATGCTCATATTGTATCCATTCTCCAATGACAGGGCGACTGAACTCGGCCAAATGCTCGAATCTTTAGACTTTGAGATCAGAAGTCATGAATCCAATCACCCCCGTGTTTGAATGTTTCACAACATGTTTGGCAAGTAAACGTCCAGGCTCTACTTGAATTTCGAATTTTTTTCTTTGACCTGAAGGCTGGTTTTTTGTTTTCAACTGTTAAAAGGAAGTTTGCCTGCCTACAGGTCCCGCCCACTGGCTGTGTTTGAATCCCCTCCTGTGGAAACTGAGGAACAAAGCTGTGCCCGAGGCTGGGGCTCTGAGAGCCACGGCAGACACTGGGGTAGGGCTGTTAGGAATGGGGGGGGTGTTAAAATGATGCTAAGAAGCTGACTGAAAACGGGGCAGTCTGAGTGAAGCTGTTGTCCAGATGAAACCAGGCAGAGAGATGAAAACTAACCCTCTGGAAACATAACTGGAGGGAATATGACAGAAAAAGCATGTATGGCAGACAGACAAGAACAAGAACTTAGAAAGAGCCCCTAAAATATTCAGTACAGCCATGGGGTAGGGAGGGGTTCTCACCCTGGACTCTCTGCTCTGGGGGCTGCTCAGACCACCCTCAGGCTCATGCCTCATGAGTATCCTGAATCCTGATACAAAAGCCTCCTGCTCTTCAAAGGATTCCACAGCCTTGAACCCTTGCACTGCCCCAGACGTGCCGATTTCTTCGCCCGTCCCAGGCTGTGGTTTACTGACTCGTGCCCTGGCTCCCAAGAGCAGAAGGACCGATTCTCTTCCTCCTGCACTCCCTCAGCCAAGACGGGTGCTGAACACCAGTGCAACTTTTGTCAACCAGAACGGCTCTCTTCACACCTGCCTTTAGGCGCTGCCAGAAACTGGCACAAGGTCACACAGTAAAGGAAGAGAAGTGAGCTTTTAATTGAGGCCATTCTACTACAAAACCTGAGCTCTTAACCTCCATGCTACGCTGCCCATATTTTTACCCTGGCCTTGGGCGATTCTTTCTTTGGATCCAATGGTTCCAAACAGGACGCCTGACTGCTTACATTCTAATCTTGGCTCTGCCACTTTCTACCTACGAAACTTGGGCAAGTTACTTAACCTCTCTCTCGTGTAGATTCCTACTCTATAAAATGCAGATTGTTTTGTTTGAGCACCTTTATGTTAATAGCAAATATACTTTGTCTGCAATGAAGCAGCCAGTCGCAGCACTGCACGATCCAGGCCCTTCTCCTTCCTGTGCCGGGGGAAGCAGTGCTGAACATGGCTCTTTCTCTCTAATGCATTTTGAGTGCATTTAAGGCCTCCGAGCTTAAAAGGAATACAGTGCTACTTTGGCACATTGTTTAAGCCATTTGAAATGATATTTCAGAGGGATATCGGAATGACTACTTTTAGCATTCTGGCAGAAAGCATCAGGAAGATCGCTGTAATCCTGAGCTGGACATTCTAGAGTGTGGCTGAGCTTTGTATAGACGGGGTCGAGTGAATACTCATTTTCCCATAAAATTCATGAGGCCCCAAGGGCCACGGGATTCCTTCCCTTTATTAAACACGTATCTTCCCTTTCCTAACCTTTTCCGTATTAGGTGCAATCTGCAGAGGAAACAGTGATGTCATATCACGATGCCTGCAGAGTCACTGGACGCCAAAGTGCCTGGGATGTTCTGACATTGCGGAGAAACGGCAGAGCTCTTCTGAGAAGGCCTCAGAATGTTTACAAAGCCACTTCTGCTCTGCAGTAAGCTTAAAGGGAAATCTGGTGCTCAGCTGCTGATGCAACTGAAAAAAAAACAACTGCTCCACAGCTGAGAGTGTAAGATGGGACATTCTTCTCGGGAAAGCACTTTAACATTATTTTTCTCCCTGTGCTGAACTCAGCAGCAGCATCAAAACTCAGTTCCTGCCTTTCCGAAGGGGAAAAAACCACCCACTTTTTTATTGTATCATTTAGGGGTTATTAACACATTGTGTATCAAGAGCATTTAAAAGGCATATGCTCGCCCTGGCTGGGCAGCTCAGTTGGTTGGAGCATGGTCCCATCCACTGAGAGGTCACAGGTCTGATTCCTGTCAGGACACATGCCCAGGCTGTGGGCTCGATCCCCAGTCAGGGTGCCTACGGGAGGCAACCGACAGATGTTTCTCACACTGATGTTTCGCTCTCCCCCCCCCACTTCTCCTTTCCTTCCTCTCTAAAATCAATAAAAATATATCCTTCAGTGTGGATTAAAAAAATAAAAGGCACACACCCTGCTTCTCAACACGCGCATATACCAAGATGTTCAGCTCAACATTCTCCAAGAGAGTAAAAACCATTGAAATGCTCCTCAATCTGTATGTTAAAAAAGGAATAAATAAAATTTCTGAAGATGTTTAAAAATACTTACAAATATATGAAAGAATATTTACAAGAGAGGAAAAAGCATGATAAAAGACTACACAAATTGTAGCTTCCCAGAAATTGATGAAATAACACTCATAGCTAGAGTGAACTCTCCAAGCTCAGTATGTTGAAAGTGCTATATTCAGTGGTATAATTAGACATGATTTTAGTTTCTTGATTTGAATTTTCCTAATTTTCCACACTATGTCATAATTACTTAAGTAGAGGGGCGTAAAGGCAAAAAAAAAAATTTTAACGCTGAAAGAAGGAATCTCTTTCATTGCTAGTCCTCCCTGACCCTGGATTCGAGATTCTTCTTCATAATCTACTGTATCAGTCATCACGTAGATTTACTGTTTAATTTACCTGCCAGTGTACGAAGAAAAAATATCCAGAGCCATTATTCCTCCAGACTGCTGTCCCAGGCTGATTCTAAACTCTTCCAAATGTTCTGCAGGCACGTAAGTAATCCTGGAACAGAACATAATCCATGAATGCAAAGGGGAGCAAAGTTTTGGCTAACTGTTAGGAAAAGACTCCAAAACAGGGAAATAAATTATATTGTCCCTTCATCCCTCCTTTTTCTCACAACTCATTTAATCAGCTTACTCGGCAGAGAATCCAAACATCAAAAAGACAAAGTATCCTACATGTAAGAATAACAGAAATTAACATTTTAAATGCTGCTGATAAACTACGTGCTTGCCAATAATCATATGGGGGAGGAAAACAACATTATTAATATTTCCAAATGAGAAGGCGAAAACTACTTTTTGAAATTAGAAAGATCTATAAATTCTTAGGAAAATAACTGTCAGTAATAACCATGATTTCATCCAAAGAGTCTTGGTTTCCTTAGCAGAAAAATTAGGTAGACGCTATTAAAACACTGAGTTTTTTACATTATTTTACGTAAATAACTTTACGGTCTTCCATGATACATAATTAATTATGGGTATTAACAAGCATTATCAATCAATACGTAAATGTTAGCTTTACTAAGTTAAGAACTCTCCAAGTCTGAAGTTAAGCCATTATAACTTTATGGAAAGGCGCTCTTACTAGTTTGTAGCAACTTCTAAGTTCATTTTGGTTTCAGGGAAAAGCCTGTTTACACTTGACTGGTCACTTCCCAATTCAACAAGTACTGGCTGAATGTCTACAATGCCAAAGGCGCTGAGTTAGATGCTGACCACAATTATAATGTTTAGAAAATGACATTTGAAAATTCAAGTTTACTGCTGTTCTATAAGGCTTTATAGTTGATACGCTTGTTTAAGTGAGCTGCCCAAGATCCTCAAATTAATGAAAAGGCAAGAGAAATACTGCCTTTGAAGCAAGTTGGGCATGTTTGTGCAACTATATATAAAAACCATAAAGACTACTGAACCAGCTATCCATAACCTACCCCAAAAGACAATAACCTTAAACCCTTAGCACTGGAGTGCAAGGATGAAAGGGTTGTCTTTCATGTTATAATAAAATACGAATTACACCAATGTCATAATTATTGAGTGAGGAAGGCATATAATTTCAGATATAGTGGTTATTCTATAAAAAGCATTCACTCTGTGAGGTCCCTTAGATCTAGAGGCACAGACGCAGTTCAGTTGCTCATGGGGAGCGTGATGGGAAAGTGAATCGCAACCACTCAATCCCGCATTCTCGAGTGCGAAAAGGACACCGCTTTTTATGAGGCTACTGTAAACAGAAGTGTAATACAAACGCAAGGCAGTGTGCAACAGGGCATCAGCAACCTCGTCACAGCTGATCACCCGGCCCAATCCGTGGGCCCTTTGGGATCTTTGCACGACACTTTTACTTGGAGGATTAAAAACTGAAGCAGAAAGTATAGCTCAGTGGATTCAGGACTAGGCTGGGTGAGAGAAATGCACCCTAATTCTGACCCTATTTAATCTATTCATCTATAAAAACACCTCCTCTATGGTATTAAAATATAATGAATAGTAAATTTACATTACTCCTTCAAAAATAGTAAGTTAGAAACACGTAACAGATTATACTGGAAAAGAACACTGATTGTATTTTACACACACACACACACACACACACGCACACACACAAAGATAAATATAAAACCTCAAACCTGAAAAACCTATTCAAGAAAACTGGTATTATTTCTGAAGATTCAATACGATCAAACACATACAAGTAAAACCTTAAGGGAAAAAGCCAGGAAGAGGTGAGGGGGGGAAAGCAAGAACACAATAGTGAAAATAATGACAATCAGCTCAAAATATTTAAATTTTTAACCGGTTTGAGAAGGAAAATTTCTATACCAAATAATAAAATGAATTTTCCTCTATATTTGTTCAAAATAATTTTCCTTTTACTAAAGAGGGAGGGATGGGGAGCTTTACAAATATTTTTATGATATTTTAGAATAGTGAAAAGGTTAAAGAAGGCAGTTTTCATAGCTATTTAGCCCAATACCCACAGCATGGCCACCAGAACACATCCCACAATGCAACAGCACGCACAGAGCAAGTCCACACCCCACCTCCAAATCACCAAAAGACATCACCTAACTAAATTATGTAAATTATGAACTACAGAAACACACGGAAACTGCTTATTTGAGAGTTGTGTTAAAAATTCTTAAATGTAAACAAATCTACGGTTAAGCACGGAGCAGAAGAAATAAAAGTAACATTAGTGATGCTGAAATGTGATACAGCTCTTAATCCAGAGCCTGCGCCTGCACATGCAGAAGGATCACTCCCTGACAAAGGAGCTTAAAAGCTCAGTAGCTGGAAAATATGATTTTCAAATACATTGACAGTCATCAGCGCAAAGGGAAAATGGAACAATCCCATAGCTCTGTTGCAATTTGTTATTATATAAATGAAGGGGAAAAAAGCCAAAATGTATACCCTGAATCTATGTCTGGATCTATCCCTGCATCCAGACGTTACAAAAGCATGAAATGGTTTTCACAGACAAGTTGTAACACACAGCCATAATGAGCTTTTTGAATCACCGATACTCACACATAAAAGGGGGCTCGATCGTCAGCAGGTGCTGCAGAAAATCTAGAATGTGAAGCATACGCCGCGGCATCTTTTTACAATGGTGTTAACAAATGTCAATGTCTTGTGCTGAATATGAGATGCATACATATGTAGTTAAAAGTGGGTGCTCCTGGTTGTTTTTTTTCCCCTTTCCACCTCCCTCCCATCTACACCTCCCCCAGAAAAGCATCTGCTCCTTACTGGTGTCTATAGCAATGATTATTAACAAGCATGGAAAAATGTAACTGCAATCAATCTTTTATTCCTTGATCAGGAATTCATCCCACACTTTAGGTTAAGGCAGGTGAATTCTTATTCAGCTTGGTAATTATCTGGCAGATGTTACAAGCAGCTGCTGCTAAGCGCAAAACCCTGGCTATTATTACAGAACTGTAAGAGCTCCTGGCAAGGTGGAGTGAGAAGTGAAACAGAATGCATTCTGGTGAGGCTTCACATCTGGTTTTCCACAGAAAATAATGAAACCTGGAACTTAAACTGGCTGTTCTTGAACTCTTGAAACTCAAATTAGCTACCCAGGCATGCATGAAAGCCCTCTCACCAAGTTCCTAGCTATCTGTCGTAAAAGGCAAAAAAGAAATCCAGTGCATTGTCTGAACAAGCAATGCTTTTCCTAAAACGAGTCAGTCATGTAACTGAGCCATTAAGTCTTTTTTTTAAGTCCCTCCAATACACTTCTCTACCACCACCCCAGATTAAGCTGGGTTCATAACAAGAAATAAACAGGAAGAAACTGGGATGGAGCCTAAATCCAGGCAATGACTACAAAGCTTAATTAGCCAGAGGCAATGCCTGGTTCCATTCAGAGTAATGGAGGCCCAGGCTTTCCTTTGGGGAGGATTACTCCCTTAGCTTTCAAGGTAATTCTAAACCTTTAGCTTCAGGAAAGCAGGAGATCTGGAAGGCACAGGGCCAAAAACACTTCATGCAAAATGCATGGAACATGCTGCTCAGCCCTGGCCAACCTAAATGGTGATTTGTTCTATCATTTAGCACTTCCCCTCCCCCCCGCCAGAAAAAGGATTATATGATTCTAATTTCTTTCTACCACTTACCCAGTGGTCAAACCATAATCATCTGAATCACAGCTACAGTAGGACACTCGAGAAGAAATCAAAGTGTTACGCTGACATGTTTGTACGTGTGCACACACCAGCATGTGAGACACAGATCAATTACCTGATTGATTTACTGACTGATGTCCAGAGAGGGAAGGCTGTGGGATTTTTCTTCTTTTCTTTTTTTTTTCTTTTTTTACTGTAAGATACCACAGTACATTTCTGCCTTCAGGGATCTTAAAGCAATTATGTATGAAGTTAGCTCTCTAGCCCTCAAGGTCATCATTAAGCTGCTATCCACATGAAAGGGTAAATTCTGACCCGGAGTCAGAGGGTAGGAAAACAAACAAACAAACAAACCAAACCAGAAGACAGCAACAAAAACGAGAAAAAGAGAGAGACGACTTTCAGAGCTTGAAAACATACCTGACGAATTTTCTGGAGCAGGCTAGATGCATGACTTATGTCAAATCAGTGTCACAATGGTCTTATTTGTTTGGCTACCTTTTAAGATCTTCAGTAAATCAGAACAGAGGCAGAGGCTAGAACCAAGCACCAATGATGGTGCTCAGAGACCTGCATCAGTGCCCACAGCTCAGCAGGGACATCATCACACAATAAATCAAATGATCGGTTACCAGGCCGTCTGCATTTTATACTGCATGTAAACCATGCAAGCCAAACCCCTGCCACAAAGAGTCTCCGTGTGGCTGGATATACCATTCATCTTTAAGCAAAAGAAATGGACACTGGACCATGAGTTTTTTTTAGTAGAGAGGCTCCGGTGTTTTTAATGATGCTCACTTGCACTCACATTATTAATAAGATAATTACGGAGCTGTCGCAGGATCTGATGATGTGTTCCATTACAGAATAAAAGTCAAAGGGCATACAAAACTATGAAAGCCCATTAGTGAAGTTCTGCCTTTAAAGAATGCATTTTTATACGAGAGAAGAATCCATTCCACACAGTATATATTTTTCTACTTTTTATTGAAGGCAGAATGAAAACCAGATTGTAAATACTGTTTTTCTTACCTAAGCTCTAGCAAGATATACTTTGCAAAAGAGTACTACAGAACACAGTCCATAAAATAGCATTAATACTAAAATGTGTCCCATACGAGTAACCATTACATTAATTTAAGGTCAACAATCTTTCCCTGAGCTGTTGTTTTACTATTTTATCCCCTTATACACTAAATACAGATATTCAACGGTGAATGCTACAGGAAAAAGCCAAACTATTACATTGAAGAGGTGTGACAATAAAGTCATGAACTGATTTTTATGTTGGCTCAAGAAACATTGAGTGACTTTAAAAACCAAGCCACATATATAATGTGCTTTGGGCACATTATGGGATTACGGGACAGTTTAGACACTTCCTCACAAAATACCCTATACGACTATGTTAACCATTGTTGAATTCTCTTGGATCATGAGGTTCAGCAAAGGTAAGTTACTGCTTAGACTGGCTCTGTTCTATATGATCTTTTCCCATTACCGGCCCTCTAACACCTGGCTTCGCTCTAGGGTCCATACAGATTAAACATGTGGTGCATAACTCCTTATACTGAAGGCCAATCAAAACTTCATAAATAAGATCCTAGAGTGGACCCTCCTGTTCTGTGAGACATATCTCATCTATCTCACATCTAAGGCTTTTGCAAAAATCATTGGGAAAAAAAAATTAAACGGAGAAAAGCAAAATTGTTTTAAAATACTTTTTTTTTTTTTTTTTTTTTTTTAAAA